AGGGACATTAGCGTTACAATGGCACGATTAAAGGTAACGCGTTCGTTGCACCTTGGTACCGCGATCAAGGGGGCGGGCGAGGGGACGAGGGGGACCCGAAACGGTGGCTGGTCTCAGCAGCAGGTACATCGGTTCGCGTTGCCGTTATTATTCCATAAATAATAAACGGAGTAGGAGCCACTTAGCGCGGCGGTAATTTAGGCCAAGTTCACCGGGCACCCGGCTCTGCCTGTTCCTTTTTCGCAATTACACCAACGTGCGATTTCAATATCCGCATCGCGCCGACTTAACCAGCTAATCATAGGTGTCCGCGTGCACGTCGCTGTCGGTTAATTGGCGTCACGAACGGAGGAGAGAACGATGAACGGGAGCGTCGCGCAAACCGAGCAAAAAGCCGGCCAAGAACTGGGATGAAGAAGAAAGCCGAAGAGTAGCGACGAGACGTCATCGTACACGGTAGCGTAAGAGTTAGCGTGTTCGCATCGGGATCAAATTGAAAAGTAATATCGATACCCGACTGTGACATAATTGCCCGCGACTACGTCCGGTAACGTAATTGCAAACTTCGCCCCTCTACCTGGCTTCTCTCTGAATCTCTTCCCTCGTCTCGATTCGCTCAGCCCGTATTCGCGGCACGCTGTGTACGCGCGTACAGAGCTATCGACTTTTAATAATCGCTCGTGAAACTCGTTAAGATTCCGTCGGTTAATCGAGGTAATACGGGCATTTCTCCTCTAATTGGCGAAATCGAGGTCTCAATCGGGACCGAGGCGAAAATCCCTCGTCCCAGTCTTCTTACGTTCATTGCTCGCTCGGTCCGCGAGCCGACGCGTGCTGAAACGGCGCAGAGTTATCGACGCGTGGAACCAAGACGAACCCCGTGAGGTTATCGTTCTCTGCCGGCAATCCGACCGAACCTCCCCTTAAATCTTCCGGCGCGATCGTGAACGGTCGTTTTAAATGGGAGATTAATTCCTGGGAACCTTTTAGCGTGATTTCGGTGATCCTTTATAGCCGGTCCAACCCGTGTAGGTATTACAGTGACATACGGACGTCGCTTAAGTTAATAGTCGATGCGTTAACACGGGCTGGCGTTATAAAAGAAAGACGGACAGGCCTACGTGCGTGTCGCCCACGCGGCGACACTCGGCGTCTAGCGTGCGTGCGTGCACCTATACGCGGATGCACGCACGCACGCATGCACGCACGCACTGGCTGCGCCGTAGAGGTGGGAAAAAGGATATTACAAATCCTCTTCGACGAAGATAATCGAAGGTATCGCGGAGCGGACGTATTCCCGGGAATTATTATACTAAACGAGGTGCCACGACCGGGTGCCAAGACACCGAGTATTATCCCATTAGAATAAATGCAAAGTAGAGTTCTACCTTCGCCCATCTCGATCTACCCTCCGCCTCTCTCCGTTCGTCGCACGATTTTCTCCTCCTCGTCCGTCTCTCTCTCTCTCTCTCTCTCTCTCCCGCTCTCTCGCTCTCTCCTTGCACCGTTCCCGTCTCGCGAGCGTACTCGTTTTCTCTTCGTCTATTTGGTACAGGTTCGCGTCTGGTCTGGCGCAAGGGTGGAAAATGGGAGGCAGTCGGAGCGGTAGGGCGCATTTACATGATATGAATATAATGGAGAGGGCCGGGTCGCTGGCAAACCCGGGCTACGAGAGCGCTACCTGTTGAACGGAGAGTTCAAACCCGCGGTGACCTACAGGATATATTCGGCCGGTCTGGACCAGCGCCCCAGCCTTCGTGGTCGTTCCTGGACCTTCCATTCAGATCTCCCCGAGTTCACCGACCACTCGCGCCGTGGCTGTCGAGAAAAATTCATTCGAAAATTCGATCGGAATTTCGATCGGGACGCGTCGCGACCGGGTATGGAGCATCGTCCAACAGCTATGGGAGCAACTCCCGTGAGAAGGAGCGATCCTTTCGGCGAGCGAACAGGCGAAATAACGCGAGAAAATTGAAGAGGAAATGTCACCTGTCCAATTAAAGTCCGCTCTGCTATCGGCGATACGATCGGTTGGCATACGCGCGCGCTCATAAGGCCAGACTCCGTTCTACGAAACGGAGACAATCGTCGTCGCGTGCATAAATATGTATAGGACAGAGCGCGTGTCACTCAGCCAGGAAGAAGTCTCCGGATGTTTCCCTCCTTTTCCCCGATTCTCCTTCACGCCGTTCTCCTCCGAGGCTCGCCGATCTCCGTTGGATTACACGCTCATCGCGTGGAACGTAGTTAAACCGTGAGCACGCGACGGCGCATTTCAATACCGAGACGTCGGATCGTTTCCTTCCGAGTCGACGACGATCGGCAAGCCGAAAAGTCTCGGCGTGTCTTTTCGGTCCGGCGATATTTCGACAATGACGCGCAACACGGTCGCGAAGCAGGCGACTCCTCGACGAGCAGCCGTGTCGCAATTTCCACAGAGAGAGAAAAAGAGAAAGAGAGAGAGAGAGAGAGAGAGGCGGTAAGCAATCGTCTCGTAAAAATCGTTTCGAGGCAACCGGGGCACGTCTTCTCGCGACGAGGCGCCGCCGAGATAAAGGACAGGGAAATAAAGAAGAGCCCCTGGCGACCGGAGGAAGAGTCGAACAGCGAAGAGTCGAGGAGAGAGGCGCAAAAGCAATATAAAGGGCCAATAAAATCACGACGGTTAACAATACGGGCAGACTTGGCCCACCACCTTTCCTCCTCTCTCTCCCTCTTTCTCACCTTTCCGTCCCGTGCTTCGCCTGCCGCGGACGAGGGAACGCGACCCGCGCCACCCTTGGTCAATTTTATCTGTCGCGTCGGCTCCGCTAGACTTCGACTTGTTCGACTACCGCCGCGGCCCCGGCCAACTTCTGAAATTCCAACTTGTCCCACGGTCCCGGGGCAAACCCATCGGGAAATTGACGCGCCGAGATAACGCGAAGAAAAAGGAGACAGGAGAAAAGCTCGTGGCCGGTAACACGAGAGACTATAAGCGCATCCTCTCGATCCGCGAAGACGCGGCGGCGACGACGATCGTTCGGCGAATATTCATGAAGTTCGAAAGTAACGGGACGGTACTCGTGTCCCGGCCAAGACTCTCGGAGAGAAGTCGGTGTTCCCGACGACCGGGGGTACTTTGCGAGACGATCGGTACACGCGCGGACCGATCATGGACATGGAAACGAGGCAAGTTTCGCGCTCGACACCCGAAATAAATTGGCGAAGCCGTTACAGCGCCGATTGTCTCCGGTAGTTGCTCGTTCGAGATCTACCGACACGGAATGACCCCCTCCCTGGATCGGATACCGACGAAGCCAGTAGTAGAGTCGCAGGAAGAAGAAAGCAGGTACGCGCCGTGGGCCGGTTCGTCGAGGCGCGATTAATTTCAATTCTCCTCGCACCCGACCACTTCCTACGAGACGGTAAACACCGATTCCGAAGAATCCTGGCACGAGCAAGGAAGAATGACCGACAATGGAAGCGGGAGGAACGACACGAGGCGCCACTGGAACCCGCGAGACGAGTCCATCGGAATCGTTCTCGTAGCCGGGTCACGATCGCCTTCCTCAGGACCACTGTGTGTCGCCGATGCCACTATCCATTAACGATATACGATTGCTCGCGCTCGCTCGTTTAGAGCCCGATCGAGCGGGAATCGCGACGCCGCGGCGTTTATCGTGGCCGATTGCCGCCGTTCCGGCCAACGCATTCCGCGCGATTTTTGCCGCGAGAGGCGCAGCCGTACGCGATTATTTCTGCTCCCGGATCCGGAATTTTCTTCGAAATCGCCGAGCTTTGGCTTTCATTAACGCGCCACGCGCTCGCCGCGGACATTCCATACCGCGATTCTTTTTTTCCCACAGGGCAACGCGAAAGAACTCGTCCGTGAAGTCGATCTCTCGCGCGCCTTCCACCGTGTCCTGTACTTTCCGTTAATGGAGGCGATCGAGAAAGTCTCGATTTCGCGATAGATCGTTATTAAGCGCGCCGCTGGTAATTACTTTCGACTAATAACTCGTGCCCGCGGACAACCGCGATCGCGAACCGTGTCGGCGCGAGTGGTGTGAGCACGCGCGCGCGCACCTGTGAACCCGAGTAAGAAGCGGCCGGAGAATACCGTGCAACTCGAGTGCAATATCGCAACCGGAGGTGAGGTTTATTAAACGGGCAGGGCGGTGGTTAAAGGGAAAACACGGATATCCCCGGGAGAAGCTTTATCCCGCCGCGTAAACCGCACGCGATTTATGCTCGGCCCGACGCTCTCACGCGAGCTCCCAGCTATACGCGCTTTTCACTCCACAACCGCCTGTCGAAAACGCGCGTGCCCCGCAGATCAAAGCTACAGACGTCTCGAGAAACCCGGCTGCAACCCTCTAGCGTGACCCGCAACCGCCACCTTTCGGGGATTGTTCCTCGTGAATCCGCGATTGTTCGCGAGGACGCCGAGCTCTGCGTGTCATTCTTTCCTCTAGACTCCTCGCGTCGTTCGCGCGAGGACGGAGAAAATTGAGCGCTCGTTGCGTATTTAGTTCCCCATCCCTTTGTTTCCCGAGATTCTCGATGGCTGTTTCCCGTCGCGGTAACGCGGACGTAGGAGGAGACGTTTAACGAAGAAACGTCGGGAATCGTCATCCGTGGTGGTTGGTAAAGAGCTTGGCTCGGAATAAAGCGGTCGTTAGTGTCAAGAGGGAAACAATGGACACAATGGACGGCGCGTCGAAAAGCCGAAAGTCACGATTTGGCGAAGAGCGAACGGACGAATCGTTTACGCGAATATTCCGTGTCACGACGATACGTTTCGCTGCGGGTAAACAATAAAGTCGGTTGCCGGGCGAACGAACGGACGTCGAGCCGAAGGAGGCGTCACGTAAACAAACGGTAGCCAGACGGCGGACAATTACAGATAGCCAGAAGGAACAATGACCAGGGAAGAATGAAAGGCAGAGTCGTAAATCTTTGGCGGAAACAGGTGGACGCGCGTGATCGCGAGTAGTATAGCAGATTGAGTAACTGACCTTGCGAAGAAAGCTGCGGCTGCGCTGGCCTGCGCCGGCGTCCCTGGTACTCCGCTCACGTTGTACGAGTACTTGGTCTCTTGGTACACTTGATACGCGCTTTGCGGCTTCGAGTGCGACGATCGGTGATAATAGTGATCGGCGTACACGCTCTTCTCCGCGGGACGTTCACCGGCGACCTTGGACAGGCCGTAACTCTGCATCGCGGACGAGGAGGACGTTTTCGAGTGACACTTGTCGTGACCGTTCTTCTCCGGCCCGTGCAAATGAGACTTCTCGTGGGCAGAGACCACCACCGGCTTGTCGATCGTTCCGTACGACTTGAAATCGTAACCCTTCAGTTCGCCGTAGTACTTGATGTTCTCGACCTTGAATCCGTGACCGACATCGTGACTCTTCGACTTGCCTGTCTCGTGCTTCCCGTAGCCGAGTTCCTGCGCCGATTTCATTCTATCCCCGCACTTGCCGAGCCCCTCGATGCCGTGTAGAATCGCCTTGGTCGACGACTTCTCGATCTTCAACATCGATCTGTCGCACAGACGACCTTGCACCGCCTCGCTGGCCTTCAGCAGAGAGTCCACGGCACCCTTGTACCTGTCGCACGTCGTCGAGTCGCACGGCACACCGGAACCACCGTGGCAGACATTACCGGAAACGGTACCGCAACCGCTACCGCTACCGCTACCACCGCTGCCGCCGACGCCGACACCGACGCCGACACCGCCTCCGCTTCCGGCACCGCCGACACCGATACCGGAACACCGATTCTGATGATGGTGGAACGATTTCGACGAGTCCGCGTGACACCTCGACGTCGATATCACTTCGGATTCCTCGCTGCCATCCTGATACGTCTCCTCCTTGTTCGAGTTCCCGTTGATGTTGTTGTTGTTGTTGTTGTTGTTACTCGAGGAACGCGTGTCGCACGACTTGTACGGGAGTCGCGACCGCGACGAAGGACCGCGTGTTGCTTCTCGCGCGGTTGGCGTGATACTGGCCAGATTAGAGGGCGTCTCGGCGCCATGAGTGCCGCTGGTTCCCCTGCTAGAGTTACCACCACCGCCGCCGCCGCCGCCGCCGCCACCGCCACCGCCACCGCCGCTACCGCTACCGATGCCTATGCTCCCTCCTCCTACTCCTCCACCTCCTCCTCCTGTACCTCCTGCTCCTCCTGTACCTCCTGCTCCTCCTGCTCCACCTCCTTGACGTTTGCCCCTCTCCTCCTGTCGAATTGATAACGTTACGCGTAACCGCTAATCGTCCCGACCTCGCGCGGTTTCTTCCGCGATCGTGGTTGCCGAAGGGAACCGAAAATAAAGGCGAGTCGGAGGAAAGAGGGAAACGGGATTGGTCGGGATGTCTCGGGGCGATACGAGAGGTATTCGTTGGCTCGATCGTTGATTCGATGCTGGGATTCGATAGCGGGGGAAAAGTGTTACTCACCTGGACGCGTTTGTAGTCGTCCTGACGTCTGGCCACTTCCGAGTACTTTGGCGGAGGTTCTGATCTCGGTGGCGTCTCCTGGTACCTCGGCGGTCGGTCGAATTGTCGGTACTTGGGCGGATCGATGTAAGGATTGTTCTGATGCCTGTAATAATTCGGCAGCTGACACTCGGTGAGATCCGACTGAGACCTATTCAGCTGATAGTTCGGCGGGGCGTTCGTCTTCTGTTCCTGATGGCCCTGCTTCGCGTGCTTCGGAGGGATCGCTTTATCCTGGACACCGTGCGACTTGTCCCGTTTGTCGCCTCTGTCCTTGCAACCCTCGAACTTGCCGTCTTTCGCCTTTTCTTGCGTCGCCGGCCCATCGATCTCGTAGAAGGTCAGCTCCTTTTTGCCCTGGCTCTTCTCCATCGCGCAGCGATGAGCCTTGGAATGGTGCTGCTGCGCGTTCTCCACTTTGACGGGTGGATCGATCTGATAGAAGGTCAATTCGCGCGAGTCCTGCGACTTGGACCGTGTCTCGTGGGTCGAATGGTGCTGTCTCTCCGGCTGCGAGTGACTCCGCAAGTACCTCTGATCGATCTTCCCGGCACCGTCTTGATGCCTCGACGATAATCTCGCGAACCTCTCGTTCGGTCCAAGCCTCACCGAGTTGCGACCGTACTCCAGATACTCGTCGCCGTACTTGAACGCCTGCCGTGGCTTGTACTTCTCCTCGAACTGCGAATAGTTGTAGGTATTAAAGCCCACCTGATTGAAGTTTCTGCTCAGGTTCGACGAGTCGTAGTCGGTGGACGTGACAGCTTCCATGTTTATCTGAAACAGAAGAGGCGAGAGATGAAAACGTTGCACGGTGTCCACGTAACCCGAAGCGAACGCGTACGCGGTTCGACCAAGGACGAGTGGTTGGCGACGCGGAAGGCCGAAACCCAGGGGAAGAGGATCCACGAGGATCCACGAGGATCCACGAGGATCCTACGCTTGGAGCAGAGAGAAGAATACGAGTCAAGGGCGCTCGACGGAGCAAAGGAAGAAGAAGAGGGACCCGAGGCACAGACCGGAGACCATAAATCGGGGAACGTCTTACTCCTAAATGCCCGGGGTATTTACCGTGAAACAAAAAGCCACGGCGCGATAAATAAAATCTGACACCGAGGGGGCGTGCCTTCGCGTCTCTGTCTACCTCTGTTTCGCGGATAAAGCGCCGCAGCTTCTTCTTCCTCCGTCTATTCTTCCTCTTCTACTACTACTCTCGTGCTTCTTTCGCCCGGTCCCGAGAAAAGCGGTCCGAACGAACCCCGGGTCCGGAGCGTCTGGAGAGGGTTGCAGGAAGCCGGTCTCCTCCGCTCGGCTCCGAATTCCACGTCGAAAATCGAGTCGCGCTCGAGGAACCGGTTCGCACCTCCGGACCCCGAAGGCCAATCGATTGCGCCTGTATGCGTGCGCGTCGCGAGAGAGCTGCTTTCACGATGCAACCGAGATCACGCGGGTTTCTCTCATCTTTTTCATTTTTTTTTCCCTCTTTTCTCTCTCTCTCTCTCTCTCTCTCTCTCTCTCTCCCTCTCCGCCTGTCTTATTCCGTCGGAACGTTGGAGCCCTTATCCAGAATACGCTGCGAGGCAGTGGCACCGGCAGATGCGAGATCGCGATTAGACGATTCGACGAACTCACGGGAATCCGCTTTCGACGAGATTGCGCGCTGGCAACCGCCTGCTCGGCGGGGGAACAATTACGGTCCCTGCTCCAATATCGCGAATTAAAATTCGAATTAAGATTCGAGTGTAAAATCTTGAGACGACAGAACGAGAGGGTAAGGAAGCTCGAGGGCATTAAGGGAAATATGCCTGCCGGTCGATTATTCCGACGGTAATCGGTCCTTTCGAGCAGCCTCGATGGCCACAGCCTTTTGACCCGAAATCAAATTCCGCTGATCGAGCTCCGATCGAGAGCGTTCGTCGAGCGATCGTTGCCGGGTCACCGGGTATATCGAAGTTCATAACTTCTTCTAGAACATCGAGAGTGCCCCTCGGGGGCCCGCGGTTATATATTACCGGCTGTAATGAAGACTCCAACGGCAGCGAGCTACCGAGCCTCAGCCTTGTTTATCACCTCACCTCAAATATACAATTAACATGTTGAAAAGCCGCCTGCAGCTCTCGGAATCGCAGCCTGCCTTTGCCCTGCGCCGACAAAGAAAGGGTTGCGAGGCCTGTATTCAGTCTCGTTACCTCGTGCACGCCTCGTTAAAGCGTGTCTGGATGCTTAACCCACAATCCCTTTTCTTATCCCCTCGCTATCTATCCAGGCAGCCTTCCGAAATTACCGGTCGCTCGCGCCATGGGCCGATCGCCGCGGAACCCCGCTGAAAATTCATCCGTGATCGCTCCGCTGATTCGCGCGCGAGGATCGAGCGATTTTCGAGACGCGTGAAACTGGCCTGAATACCGCGGGGGGTACCTCCTCCGAATAAACGATCGACTTTTCCCGGCTGCAGACACGGCTGCCATTATTAAATATAATTAAAGAGAAAGGTTGTCCAGCCCTGGGGAAGTCTCGCGAAACGCGGCTCCGTTCGCGTTTGCCAGCGATTTTCTTTCGATTATATTCCAAAGGAAGGGGGGCTAACGCGCGCTCGGCGCGAGAAAATCGGGTCTCGATCGTGATCGAACGGTCGGAACCTGACGGGAGAGGTTGGCCGACGCGAGGTGAAAACGCCGCAACGGCGACAGAGGGAACCGGAAGCGTCGTGGTTGCAAATAAGAACGGCCTGGTGGATCGTTTCACGCGGGACTCGTTGCTACAGCCGATCGGGTACGGAGGACGTGTCCCCGACCGCGCGATACGCGCAATATCGATAGTCCGTCGCGTCAGAATTCTCATTTATCTTCATCCTTCAATTTCCCGTGTACACGTGCTCGATCGTCCGCGCCCTCGCTCGCTCGGCAGAAATAAAACAAGACCGGCGTGTTTTCTAAAGTATACGCGCCGAGAGTGATAGTCCTCCGAACGTATTCCAAGCGCCACCATCCGATCCGACTATGCGACGGATATTGCATCGGATCGGTTAGAAAGTCTCTTACAAGCTTTCCAGAGGATAGACACACACCCGCTCTCGTGTGTCTCCCCTGGAACATCTTCCGCGTTTCCCCCGATTATTTCTCTCGCGTTCGGACTGGATCTTTCGAAAATTAATGGACCCGCCCAACTTCGCGAGTTCGTACCTGCCCATCTCGAATGCCGCGTCTTTAATAATCCAACGATATAAACCTCTTTCGGCCCGGGTCACGCGCTTCGACGTTATTAACGAGGGGACCGATAATTACGTGCTATCCGTCTATGGCTATCAATCATGTTACGATTTTAAAGGGATTCGCGAGCGAGAGATACGGGATGGGTGGAAATTCGAGCACCTCGGGTAACGACATTGAAATTGGCGAAACGCGAGGCGTGTTTCTCGGTAGCCCGCGCTCGCGCGTACCCTGCCGGCATAAATATTAATAGAATTTTTGAAAGTTCCATTCCGGAAGACGATAATGACGTTGTTTGCGTTGGCAATAATAAGTTTCGTTACGGAGCAGCGGAGTTCGATCCGGGCCCGTGCCGTGTCTGCGAACGGGGCCCCGTAATTACGGTTACCGCTAAAATTATCCCGGCAGTCGGTTTCGCGCGGTACACACGGGGTGTCCGTAGAGGAAACGACTACCTTCGAACAGGCAGTCGATCGATTAGTATTATTAGCGGCGCTAGGCGAAATCGGTGAACGTCCCCCGGAGTTTCGTCCCTCTCCAAACTATATTTCCCTTATTTTTTCCTTTTTTCTTCTCTCCTCTCTCTCTCTCTCTCTCTCTCTCTCCTCGTCGCGTCGAAACGTTCCACGTGCTGCATGGGAATTTATCGCTCGGCATCGGGAACCCCGAGCACGGAAAAAAAGCTGCTTGATTACAGTGTGCAACGCCACGACCGATAATCGTCCCCGACAAAAGAGAAATCGTGTCCCCGATCGTAATAACGAGTCAACCGCGAGCATAATTAATCTCGAGCAGAACGAGACGGTTTCCGAGAAACTCGGTTGAAGGACTCGAAAAAGCGAGAGGCCGAGTCCTCCGAGAAAGGCTAACGAAGTCGAGGCTCGAACGTTCTCGAGAATCCTCCGCGAGCAGCTCGCGAGGCTAATTAGCCGTTTAATCGATGCTCGTTGTCGAAAATAGCGATCTCGAGTCGACGGACTGACCCGTGTCGCGGGTCCCACCCTCGCCGTCGCGCCGAAACACCGCAAACTACGCGCGGAAAGGAGCAACGCGCCGTCTAGGGGAAGGTGGTCCTGAGAGGTACGAGAGGCATTTCTCTTGGCAATTTGCGAATTATTAATTTAAACGTTCCCCTTTAACGCTGCGAAGCCCGCGGCTAATATTTTCCCCGGAACCACCACCAGCGCGGCGGCGAGAGGGTGGTGGATACGGGAGCTTGTCGGACGAGAGAGACCGAGCGAGAAAACGGAGAGGAGAAGATGGAAGGAGTTGGCACGACGTAAATGGTCGTCTGGTCTCGCCGTGCAACTCTCGGTTGCCGTGCAAACGCGCCCGGAACAAAGTTCCGCGTTCAAACACGAAATAAAGACAGGTAACAAACTCGATCCCGGGAACCGAGCTCGCCAGCAGCGCCACGCGACAAATATCACCGCGAGAGCAAGACAGCCGGGACGCTGAGAAGTCGAGGAATCGCGTTGGAGAAGGAGGTTATGTGCGGTCGACGCGAGAAAAATGGCGCGGTAAAAATCCCCGGAAACCTAATTTATTGTCCGCTTATAGGTCCATCTGCTAATCTATTTCACGAACGAGCAATCGTCGATAGAGAGATCGTCGATCGTGACTCGCAACTAACCCTCAGTTAACACACTGCGTACCGCATAGAAATCTCTAAGACGTACGCCAGAGACCGCACGTTTTGACAAGACAGTGCGTTGACAGGTCTAAGGTCCTTAACTTACTTTCTAACTTCCTTAACTCACTGCGCGATAAGATTTCAGATACTAAAACAGACCCGTGTTGCATAGAGATTTGATTGCGCTTTAAATGAAACAAAATTGGTATATTTTTACTAATAACGGAATCACATAATGTGACTGAGGTGGGACCAAAAATGTCCCATCATGCATTACGGTGCATCAAAAAGGTGGGACACTTTTAATCCCAGCGTGCCCCAAAGAGTTAACAGATGGCGCGCGAAGCACGAGAAAACTCGTGAGCGGTACGCAATGTATTAACACTGGATTCACAGAACCCGTCAATTTGACGGGAAGGTTGTTCCAATTACGCGATGGTAACAGATTTAGTTAACTTATATTAAGTCTGTTAATATAATATATAATCGTTTTTAAATTAAACTAACCGTTAAAAAGAAAGGCACGTGGTTTCCTTTACCTGTCAATTTGACAGGTATCCTTAGAAATAGGTATACACAGGTAGCGTCCATAAACCTAGTGTTAAAATCGCGCGAAATCTTGACTGAATTTCCAGTTTACCCCTGAGGGGTGGGTTAACGGAGCCAGAACGTATCCGATTTTCACAGCGGACTGACCTGTCTCGATGTTATCCACTCGCTTCACGCATGACGATCGAATTAGAGACGATTAGTTGCCTGGGGAACGAACGAGGATGTCTTTACTCGTTTTACAGCGGGCTTTTTCTCGGGATAAACTGGCTTGTTACAGCGAAAGGATTGCAATTTGGAGCCGATACGCCGTTAGATTGCCACCGCGATTGTCAGCAGCTGCGACGTTCTCGCGATAACTTATCAGCTCGTCACGTTGGCCGATA